TCCCTTAACCTATCTATAGTACTCATATAGTTTCTAGAACACAACAAATATTTTTTAATGGAAAGGATGAATGAATTACTTTCACATTTCTGGTTCTGAAGCCTCATTGGTGACAGTCAACAAAACTATACATTTTAGCATCCAATATAACCTGAGATATGATCCTAAATTATGACATGACCCATAAATTTACATTTAGAAAATTAGTTTAAGCTCAACCTCTGCTCACTCTCATCTGAAAAACGAGAACGTGGTGTGTGTGTGTGTGTGTGTGTGTGTTTAGCCAATTGGCAGAATCTTTGCCTGTCATGCGTACAGCCCTATGCTAGATCTGAAGTATCACACAATTTGAGTGTTGCATATCAATAAATTAAATATTTGGGAGATTGAGAGAGGAAAATCAGAAGTTCAAAGTCTTTCTTAGCTGCCTAGCAAATTCAAGTTAACTTGGATTACATGATACCATCTTATAATTTATATCAAGCTGAGAAAAGGGAGTCTTGACTGCTATATATATATATTGGTGTATGCTGTATACCTGCCTAAAGTGTGCACGTGTTGAGGTGAGTCTAGGTGCATGTATGCCACAGTATGCATATGAAGGTCAGAAGACAACCTCATTGTCAGTTCTAATCTTCCACCATTTTTTTGATACAGGGTCTTTTCTGTCACTCTACTGCTCCATACTCCAGGCTAGTAGATAAGGTAGCTTTCAACAATGACCATATGTCTTCTTTTCCTCTGTCAGCAGAGACAGGAGACACTGAATGAAAGACGACTGATGCTCAGTGTTGAACCACTTTTATCAGGGTGATGTTAAAGCCTCAGTGTAGACCTTAATCAAAACAAGTTTTGGGAGAGAGTTGAGCTGAATCTTCAAAGGGAGGATTATTGTGACTTCTAGTCACCATTATAGCATGCAAGCTGAGACCCAGCTGACATTTTATACTCTTGCCTATAAAAATTGTATGTGTCAAAAATAATTATTTAACTTTGCATCTAATACCTCCCTATATTCACCAATGTAATAGAGTATATTACATGAACCACTAAAAATAATGAAAAAAATGGTTAACATGAATGGAACAAAAATAGTTCATTTTTTTTAAAGATTTTATTTATTTATTATATATGAGTACACTGTAGTTGTCTTCAGACACACCAGAAGAGGGCATCAGATCTCATTACAGATGGTTGTGAGCCACCATGTGGTTGCTGGGATTTGAACTCAGAACCTCTGAAAGTGCAGTCAGTGCTCTTAACCACTGAGCCATCTCTCCAGCCCAATAGTTCATTTTCCATGATTAGTTTAATGTCTTCTAACATTCTCTAATGTGAAATCAATATCATCATGTAAGAATATTTACCTAAGATAATTTTTATTCATGTACATCTCATAATTACCAAGTAAAAGTACACTAATACTGACATAGAGAGGAAAACAAGAGATTGTTTGATATTGACACACTCCTTGAAATTTAATTGGTTGTGAAAAATGAACTGCTCATTACACACTGGGAATGAGGTAATGATCCCTCATGATTTGAATTAACACTGTAATCCAGAGCATCTACAGAGACTTTTCCTTGGTGACAAACAATGACAGTGGAGACAGCATTATAGCTACAAAAGCATAGTAACTTTGAACTTCTTACTGTGAAATGAATTCTTATTTCAAGAGGTAAGATTTTGAGTTTGTTAGAAATGGAGATATGTTACTGTTTGCAGTGTATTGCATTTGCAAACCATAGTGGAGAAACAAGTCAGGTGGAATCATAGAGTTATTAATCATAAGGGGAAACCACAAACCAAACTTTCACCTTGTATTCCATTAGTAAATTATCCAGAGTTATCAAGCATAAAACTAAGTTTTCATAGATTTTTAAAATTATCTATTCATTGATAAGCTCAGAAACCAACATGGCCTTCAAAGGTATACACATATAGTATTCACCAAAGGCTCACAAGCTTTGAAGTGCTTTGGTGGCTTACTCTTACTATCATGTGCATTTTCATGCTTTGTTTATGGGCTAAATGTTCGAGCATCACAGGCACCAATGTGGACAAATGAAGATGTAAATATCAAAAGTAAGGGATAAGAATCAGTCTGTGCAATGATGGATGAACCTTGATAAACCACTTAACTGCTTGGTTTTAATAATTATAGGTGAATGTCTTCTGCTGAAAATCATGTGAATTTATTCCATCATATTGTTGATAGAAAACACTATGATGGGGGTTGGGTTGGGTGAGGTCATCCTCTTAGAGATAGGGAAGAAAAGGAATGGGATGAGGAACTGTCAGAAGTCAAACCAGGAAGGGGATAATGACTGGACTATATAAAAATAAAAGTAATTTTTAAAAATCTACCATATAACAATATAATAGTTAATGGAATGCATTATTTCTCACTTTTGTAAATTTCTTAAATGTTTTTTCCCTAAAAGACAGCTATGTTCTCCTGGATGCCACTAGAGTCAAACTGTTGACAGGCTGGTTTGGTAACAATAGTAAGAAGTATCCAATTTTACACAACTACATACTCAGAAAGAGGCAGAATGTTTTGTAGCTGTTCTAGACAATTGCAACTATTTTTCTTTGATCTATATAAAAAACTGACAAGTTGCAATTTCTCAAAGGTCAAGGACAAGATGGAATTTGAAACCTGAATTTCAGTATGCTTTTTGTACCCTCCAACTTAAAGGCCTCTAGCCCTTACCTGGGTCTTTTGAGCATATGTAGCTGAAGCATTATCAATTCATCCATTTGAAAAATACTGGCTCACTAACTTACACAGATATCCAAAACACTGACCTATAAAATAGTTTTAAAACAACATTTCCTAATATTTCCATCAATCCTACCAGAAATGTTTTTTGAACTTATTGGGAACCCACCAAGTTCCTGAAAGATTGAAGTTTACTAACAAAGAACAAAATCAATTGCCTTTTTTGTTTTCTTTCTATTGTTCTTTCTTTCTTTCCTCCTCCTCTTCTTCCTCTTCCTCCTTCCTCTTTGGGTTGCATTTCCTTACATGAGTAGACTCACTGTTCATTTTTTGATAATGTCTCCCAAGGACCAAATCAAAACAGCCATTGTGTGTCTTGTTAGCTGTGTTTTTAAGTGAAGACTATGTTCCACCACATGTGCTCATGCCCACATCTGACTTTCCTTAGAACAACCACCACACTGAATATTCAACATGAGTACCCTGTATGTATTCAATTTCAGAATATTAAATCAATACTAAACTAAAAAAATCTATAATTGTTACTCATGTAAATAAAAAGAAAACATTATGACATTGGGAAATGCTTCAGTGTGTCTTAATAAATAATTAATAAAAATGTGCTGAATGTTCATATTTTGTTTGATGATTATCAAATGCTAATTAATGGTGGAAATCATACATAATTTATTCCATATTCTAATTTCTAAGTAATAATATCTTAAATTCTTATCAATAAAAATTGTATGTGCCCAAAATAATTATTCCACTTTGCATTTCGTACCTCCCTATATTCACCAAAGTACCTAACAGAATATATTACATCAAACACTAAAATTGGTGCACATGAATGGAACAAAATGTAGTTTATTTTGATGATTAGCTTAATGTCTTCTAATGTTCACCAACCAGAAATAATTTTGAGTAGTGATGATCTATTTAGAAGTATTTAAATAATTAATGAGCTTAAAATATGAGGTTGCATTTGAAATTTTAGAGTGATCCTTCTTTTGTTTCTTCTGGGTCCTAACAAAAAAAATTATCATCTTTGTAAAAATTGATCAAGGCATGTCAGTACATAGAGAAACATTAGATTTTGTGTTCAGCATTAACAACAAAACATGTCTGTGTCATAACCATCATAAAGCTGAAATGTCTCCATGATGTTGGTCCAACTTTGTATGTGCTCTCAACTGCATATCCACCCTTCATTTATGGTGTAGTTACTAAAAGGAATACTCTGAGTTTAACTCACCTGGTGTTCATATCTACTTCTACTTTTACGGATTTGTTACTTTAATTTTGTGTGTATGAATGTTACATGCATACACATAGTGCACCACATGCACGTTTGGTGCCTGCAAAAACCAGAAGAAAGCATTAGGTCCCCAGAACTGGAAATACAAACTGCTGGTAGAAAGCATATGGATGCTGGAGATCAAACTCAGGTCCTTTGCAAATGCAGCAAATGGTCTAAATAACTGAGCCATCTCTGAAACCTCCAAAATTAATTACTTTATAATATATATAATGTATGTATATGTGCGTTACTTAAAATCTGTTTCTGCTATAAAATGGAAACAATAAAAAGGACAATGCTATTTCATGGAAATTAAAATAGGAAAACATACAAGTTCTTTAATTGTGCAGGTAATATAGTAAACATTTAATAAAAGATAACATGTACTTAAGTCTTTATTACATAATTCTGTGCTTTTACATTTTGTTCTTTTGTTATACCTGTAATAAATAAGATTCACATTATTTTATAATTATTTATTTATCTATTTATTTGTGTGATGGAGTGGTATTGGTAATATAGCATATGTAAGGAGAGCAAAGAAAAACTTTCAGGAGTTGGTTCTCTCTTCCCATCTTGTGAGTTCCAGGAATCAAACTGTAGCTGTAAGCTGTCAGGCTTTGGAACAAGAACCCTTGCCTGCCAAATCATCTCACCAGGCCAAGCCTCATAATTTTAAACTTTATCCTTAAAGACAATTGAGTATGTGTTACTGTAAATAAATGTAAATAATCATTTTTTATTTGTAGCACATTTCTAGCATTTCTGCCTAAATAATTTTGAAGAAATTGTTGCACATAAATGTACAATGGCAACCTCAGTAAAACATTCATTATTGGTGTAATTTTAAATAATATATTAGTTAGTAATGTTCCTGTTGTCAGTATTAAATAAAAGAAAGAGACCTATTTATAAATCCTTTCCTGTACTTTCTTCATCACAGCCTTGTCCTAGCAGGAGCTACACTACCCCATGGCTTTCCTGGAGGATAGGAACCACACTGCAGTGACAGAGTTCATTTTATTGGGACTAACAGATGACCCAGACCTTAGAGTTGTCCTCTTCACCATCATCCTGTTCATCTACCTGGTGACTGTGTTCGGGAACCTCAGCACCATCCTTCTCATCAGAGTCTCTCCTCAGCTCCATCACCCCATGTACTTTTTTCTCAGCCACTTGGCTTCTGTAGACATAGCCTACTCATCTTCTGTCACACCCAATATGCTTACCAACTTCCTGGTAAAGCAAAATACCATCTCCTACCTTGGATGTTCTATTCAGTTTTGCTCAGCTGCTTTCTTTGGAACAGTTGAATGCTTCCTTCTGGCTGCCATGGCTTATGATCGCTTTGTGGCAATCTGTAACCCACTGCTTTATTCAACAAAAATGTCCACACAAGTCTGTATTCAGTTGGTTGTAGGATCTTATATAGGTGGGTTTCTTAATGCTTCTTCCTTCATCCTTTCCTTCCTTTCTTTTATCTTCTGTGGACCAAATAGAATCAATCACTTTTTCTGTGATTTCACTCCTTTGGTGGAACTCTCCTGTTCTGATGTCAGTGTCTTGGTGGTTGTTACCTCATTTTCTGCTGGCTCAGTCACTATGCTAACAATGTTTATCATAGCCATCTCCTATACCTACATCCTCATTACAATCCTGAAGATGCACTCCACTGAGGGCCGCCACAAGGCCTTCTCCACCTGCACCTCCCACCTCACTGCAGTCACTCTTTTCTATGGAACTGTCATATTCATCTATGTGATCCCCAAGTCCAACTACTCCACTGATCAGAAGAAAGTGGTCTCTGTGTTCTACATGGTGGTAATCCCCATGTTGAACCCCCTTATCTATAGCCTTAGGAATAATGAGATTAAAGGTGCTCTGAAGAGACTGCTTGGTAAGAAAATATTTTCTTAGAATAATCTGTTGTTTTATAAAACCTAATATAATAATGGTAATTACTCCAGACTAATGGGAATATAATTTCAGATTTGGTCATTCACCTTCTTGTTAGTCCTTTTGTCCTTATCTCCCTTTTCTCCCAGTATATATAGCTTATATAGTCATTGCATTTCACTTTTGTATTTTAATGTGTTTTGGAGAATAATATATAATGTAGTGTGTGTGTGTGTGTGTGTGTGTGTGGTGTGTATTTACCCTCTATCCCAACTCTTCTCATTATAACTCCCTCTCCTACACACCTAACCATTCTTTTGTGTCAAACCAATCTAGTGCTATCTATTCATACTTAGATATTTAGGCTTCGACTGAAACATGTTAACCTGACAAGGGCCATGCCCTTATAGAAACTGACTTTCCTTCTAGAATGCATAAGTTGCCATCTACTTGTTTTTCTTGATGTTGTCTTGTGAGAGGGCATATGATGTTTTTCTGAAAACAGATACTTGAGAGGGTATATGATGTTTAGAAAGAATGTAAACAGAACCCTAGAAACAGTGAGAGGATGTTCTTGCACTACTATGCCATGAAATGCTTCACTGGTCTTTGTAGGTCTTTGCTGGTCTTGACTTCATAGAGAAAAACATGCCAAAGAACTTCTCATGGTATTCCAGCTGATTCTGGACACTTCTACTGACTCATACTGATTCAGTTGAACTTTGCAGAATCAATAGATTCAGTAGAATCCCTGTTGGATTGAGCCACCACTACTAGTTCATGTTTGGCTTTTGTTATTAAACTGGACTGTTGGTATTCTGACAATGAAAAGTGGGATCACCCCCCAAGGAACTACTTCTAAATAGATCCACAATCTCCATTTTCTACAATCTTCTTTCCCTCCTACCTCTGATGGGTATGCTAGAAGGGAAGTTGAAGCATTTAAGAACCTTAAATAGTATAGACTTTGAAAAACTAAGCCTACACCTAGGTACTGTTTAGCACAGGTTTTGGACCTGATAGTGGTATTAGGTGTGATTTTCATCTTGTGGAGTTAGACTTAGAATCAGGAAGAAGGTTGTTGTTATTCCCATAGTATTTTGTCACCATAGCAACAACAGTCATGTCTTTCTAGTTGGTGGTTATTGTACTTGAAGTATTCACACTGTAAATTGTCTGTACAACATATATTTTTAAAATTCACTTTATAATAAAACCCAGATACTCTTTTTTCCCTCAAGAACTTCTTATTTTCCTGCTTTAATACTACTTTCCCCATGGGGATTTCATTGCTAGCCTACAAAAGCTAATACCAGCCATTGCTTCCATAGCTACCTTTACTACTCATATCTTTATTTATTCTTCCCCACCACATTCCATGATTTAAAAGTTTAATTCTTCTCTAGTGTACTTTCCACTGAACTATCAATTTCATGAGAATTGGTTCATCCAGTAGCAGAATTCTTGAATGTACTTGGCCCAACATCCAATAAATATTCAGCAAAAATATCTAGATGGAATTAATGGCTCAATACTTATCCTGTATCTACCTGTAGATAATTTCAAAGATCTGACACAATATTAAAGAAATAATTTCTCATAAAGAATAAAGACACTGCTGAGTTTTAATGCCTTTTTCCTGCTTTACTCATAAACTAGTCTCAAACATGTAAATAATGAGCATATCATCTTTATTGATATGTAAATTGATGTTTCTTATTAGTCATTAACTTATTATTTCTCAGCTATCCATGCTCAACTAATACCTAATGTAAAATACAGAAAACATTTGAGCACACTGATCTTAAAGATGCAGATTCATGGTTTATGGGGAGGTTAATCTTTATGTTTAGAAATTTGGGGTTTACATAGCTAAAGTTCCAAAGTTCATGTAGTAGAACTTTGTAGTAGTGAGAAGTACCTTAAAATTTTACCAGATATTTTGAGTTTGTCAGTTTGTCTGATAGTCTGTCAACTGCTAAAGACTAAGCTGTCAGAAGAGATAGGCATAAAGTTCCCAACATGAGAGTTATTAACATGAAGAAGCATAGGTTTACTGGAAAAACTCTATGTCACTATGCCTGATAATCTGGCTTTGATCTCAGAAACCTGCTGGTGGAGGAAAGAACAGACTCACACAAATTGTAATGTTTTACACACACACACACACACACACACACACACACACACACACACACTAAAAGAACCAAGCCAGACAGACTAGAAATATATGACAGGGGTGTGTAGGATAGAATTAAGAGGAAATTGAATGTATACTAAAGCAATGGCTTAGTGTTTAAGAGCACATTGTACTCTTGCAGGGGACCTGGGTTTAGCTCTCAGAACCTTCATTACCACCATCTATAATTCTAAGTCTAGGGATTCAACACACTCTTCTACCTTCTAAACGGACTTGGCGTGCATATGGTACACATCCTTAAAGGTAAAGCGCTCATACACATAAAAGTAAAAAGAAATAAATCTTTTTTAGAAGATTTATTGAGGATACTGTAGAGAGCTAGTCTATTGGAATTTAAGGAATTTCTCTCTTGTACCCAGTCTTGAATTGATAGTGCCTATTCCTATGCCAGCCATAGAATTAATAACAGATTTTACTGATATGCACATTAGCCTCTGCTTTCCTACTTTACCTAGGAACCTCAACAGGAGAATAGTGTAGATTTACCACATCTGGGCCATGAAAGTCATGCCACTCTGTCCTTTCTGACTGATCCCTATCTAACACTCAGAAATTTATGTGTCCTAATATTTTTCAATCCATAGTTTCCTTATCTTTTACTTCTCTATATAACTGATTTACATGGATTCTGTCTTCAGGACATCTAGTGTTTGCTTCCTAGTAAGTCTCCTGGAATAATAGATGTTAAAATTATCCAAACATTCCACTGGACACCATCTGTCACCACTTTCACTTCTCAGCCAATTCTTTTTTTATATATTTTTCATTAGTGAATGGATATTGAGTAGCTTCCATTTTGATAATCTCATGCATATAACATATAGAGAAAATATCTGCCCCAGTTACCCACTTTTATCCATTCTTAATGCTTCATAAATGACACTTACCACAAACCCTGCTCTGCCAATTAACTAATCTTAATGTTCACACATTCTCATTATTCTATTGACTTAATTCTGTTTTTATCTACTTATATTATAAGATTTTGTGTATGTTCTCTATTTTCTGAAAAGTGCTATTCTACAACCCTGGTTGAGATTGAGTCTCCTTGAGTCTACAGCTTTTTGTTTCACTTCCCACATTTAAACTTAAGTACTAAAATACCTCTAGAAAAGGAAACACATGATTTTGTACATGGTTGTAACCATGTTGAGTAAGATGATAATTTGAGTGTTTTGGTATATACACAGTGCCTATTGCTTAATAAATGCTGAATAAACAGTGGTGCTCAATTTAGTTGTTCCTAACAACACCACTAGAAACTTGTGCTGTAGTGATATGCAAAATGCTTTCCTGGAGAATAGAGAGCCTTTCTTTCCCAGGTTAAAGAGATTAGATATGACTATACCTGTACTGTCCATAGCTGAATAGAGGAATTTCATGTCATGAATCAAAGGAGAAACTGAGACCTTTCCTCTCTGATTGTTGGAGTAGATGTGAGATTTGAGTGCTAATATGTGTTAATTCTATACTTAATTTTTTCTTCATATTTATATTTTCTCCATTTAACTTTGTGATGGTCTGTATGTAGTATGTGGGAAGTGTGTGTGTGTGTGTGTGTGTGTGTGTGTGTGTGTATGTGTGTATGTGTGTGTGTGTGTGTGTGCGTGTGTGTGTGAATTCAGGTCATCAAACTTAGTGGCAAGCAATTTTACTCAGTTTAGTCACTTTTATGACTTATTTTCTTTCAATTTTCAAGGCCTATCTACTTTAATTAAGTCATTAAAGTATAAGAAATTTAAAAACACAATATACCTATACAGAACCTCATACTTTTCAGTATTTAACTTACTTTGCTTTCTTTTCACCTTTGCATAGCACCTTTCTTTTTTTATATTTTTCTCTTTTTTACATATTTTATTTTAGATTAATTTTTTATTGGATGTTTTATTTACTTTTTAGATATTATCCCCTTTCCCCATTCTCCTTACCCACCCAGAAACACCCTATCCCATCTCCCCTCCTCCTGCTTCTTTGAGAATGTGCCCCACCCACCCACCCACTCCCTCCTCCCCACCCTCATATTCCCCCACACTGGAGCATCCAGCCATCATGGGACCAAGAACTTCCTCTCCCACCTATGCCCAACAATGCCATCCCCACCTACCTATATATCTGGAGGCATGGGTCCCTACCTATGTGCTCCCAGGCTAGTGATTTAGACCCTGGGAGCTCTGGTTGGTTGGTATTGTTGCTTTTCCCATGGGGCAGCCAACTCCTTCAGCTCCTTCAGCCTTCTCTCTAACTCCTCCATTGGGAACCCCTTGATTAGTTCAATGGTTAGCTGTGAGCATCTACCTCTGTATATTTTAGGCTCTGGCAGACCTCTAAAGAGACAGCTATATCAGGCTCTTGTCAGCATGTACTTCCGGCATCAACATCAGCATCTGCCTTTGGTGACTGCACATGGGATGGATACCCAAGTGAAGCAGTTCCCAGAAGGCCTCTCTTTCAGTTTCTGTCCCACACTTTGTCTTCCTATTTGCTCCCATGAATATTTTGCTACTCCTTTTAAGAAGGACCTTTTGTTACTCCTTTTAAGAAGGACCAAAGCGCCCACACTTTGACCTTCCTTCTTCTTAAGCTTCATGTGGTCTGTGATTTGTATCTTGGATATTCTGATTTTTGGACTAATATCCACTTATCAATGAGTACATACCATGTGTGTTGTTTTGAGACTGGGTTACCTCACTCAGGATGATATTTTCTAGTTCTATCCATTGTGGGAAAAAATGTAAGGGCCGCAGCTGTGGAGTCCGGGAGGCTTCCACTCTGAGGTGGGTCCCACATGCAGGAGGAACATCTAATGTTCCAGCAGCCT